AAATTTAGCAATTTTTAAAGGGCCCACAGTAATTGGTGTTTACTGTTGTGGTGTCTCTGCCACTTGTTTGTTCTAAGTGGCGAAGTTTAATAAATAAATAAATAAATTAATAAATAAATAAATAAGTTGATTTCGATTTCGTATTTCGTATTATTTTCGGTTGCGTATTAGAAAATACGCTGGTCAGACAAAATAGTCTGTAATTTAATATATTACTTTGTCGCCTATGCGCTCAGTCTCTTTATAAGCCTATAAAAACATTTTTCCTTGCTGGAAGTAACTATATTTTTTCAAATGCGTTTGTTCCCGCCCTCTTTCAAAATTCGGCGGAATAGGCTCCCCGTTTTCATTTCTGCGCCCCCCCAAGAATTGCCAGCTGGGACCCCCGCCCACCCCCCCCCCTGCCAGCACGCCATTTATAAATGAGCAAGAACAATTTATTTAAAAATATTTTCAGATATGCTTTGGCAAAGGAAATAAAACAGGTGTGGGTGCATTCAGCTGGATTGCACTAACCATTTCATTGTATGTGTATAAATATTTAGGCACTATCAAACATGAACTTAACCCATTGTTATTCAAGGCTTGCATCAGGTCCTAGGTAGTGTAACTTTTTTGCCTACGTATAGTTGTAAGTGGGAGCTAACTCAGAGCTATGAATAGTGTTATTTGAAATGCGATCGAGCTGATGAAATTTTCGTAGCACTAGATAAAGTTAAAAAGCACGAAAACGGCTGCAAGTGTTGTTCAGCTAGTTAATTCGATTGCAAGCATTTAGCTATTTATTTGTTACAGTAGTGTATCTGCATGCGATTAAATGCACATTTTCCAATCGGATTATCAATATAATTATGGTGATACTATGCTGGACTCATGCGCCTTGACAAGTAAAAATGTCATCCAGAGTAAAAATGTCATGTGGGCCACAAGAGTCATATAATTTAACCCATTAACCAGTGTCACCAGTGCTCTACTACTGTTGAATAAAATCGTATGGCATTAGACAGAGTAAATACTACAGTAGAGCGCATTTGGGCATATTGCTCGTTATTGAGTTAACAAGAGACATGGGCAAATAGATTTGTTAACCCATTAACCCATTGAGTGGCAGCTCTCTCCATTTGACGAGTAAAATCGTCTGGCGTTAGACAGAGTAAAATACTCTGGAATTATACAGAGTAATTAAAATACTAACGTAGGGTGCATCGCCACTTAAAGGGTTAAGAGGATGCAACCCATAATTGAGCTAACCCATAATTGAGTGGCAGCACTCTCGACTTCACGAGAAAAATTGTCTAGTGATAGACAGAGTAAATACTAAAGTAGGGTGCAATTTCGAGGTGCATTGCCACATAAAGGCTGGGTTAACCACCAGTGTACTCTACCACTGCTGAGTAAACTTGTCTGGCATTAGACAGAGTAAATACTAAAGTAGGCAGCATTTGGGCACATAATGCCAATGCCCGCAAATGAGTTAACAAGAGACATGGGCAAATAGGTTTATTAACCCATTGAGTGGCAGCTATCTCCATTTGACGAGTAAAATGCTCTGGCGTTAGACAGAGTAATTAAAATACTAAGGTAGGGTGCATTGCCACTTAAAGGGTTAAGAGGATGCAACCCATAATTGAGCTAACCCATAATTGAGTGGCAGCACTCTCCATTTCACGAGAAAAATTGTCTAGTGTTAGACAGAGTAAATACTAAAGTATGGTCCAAATTTGAGGTGCTTTGCCACATAAAGGCTGGGTTAACCACCAGACAATACACTCTACCACTGCCGAGCAAAATTGTCTGGCATTACGGCGTAATTCCAGTCCTCGCACGAAGCTCCTCGCAGCTCACTGCGAGTGCTTGCATCTAATTAAAATTAACTCCTAAGCATTGTGATTGGATGAAAGTGCTCATGCATGCACTCGCAGCGAGCTGCGAGGCGCTTCGTGCGAGGAGTGGAATTGCGCCATTAGACAGAGTAAATACTAATGTAGGGAGCATTTGGGCACATAATGCCAATGCCTGCTAATAAGTTAACAAGAGACATGGGCAGGTTTGTTGACCCATTAACCACCAGTATTCGACCACTGGCGAGTAAAATTGTCTGGCGTTAGACAGAGTAACACTAAAGTAGAGTGCATTTGGGCGCATTGCCTGCTAATGAGTTAACAGTTTAATCCATTAAGTTGCGTATCTCTCCCCTTGGCAGGTAAATTGTAATTACCCAGAAGAAAAGTTAAGGATAAAGTCAGGTGCATTGCTGCTCATTGGGTTAACCAATTGGGTGGCAGCTACAGTAGCACTCTCCCCCTAGGGCCAGTTGTTTAAAGCCTGTTTAGCTTAAACAGTGGATAAGTCGAAAATATTGATCAAGTTTATACATTCATCAAGTAACTAAACTAAAATTTACAACTTGAGTACAACAACCGGCCACTGATGAGTGAAATAATCTGGTGTCGCACAGAGTAAAATGTTAAGGTAAGGCACACCTCCACTTAAAAGGTTAACAGTGTGCATGGGCAGAAAGTCTGATTAATGCATTGAGTGGCGGAACTCTTCCCCTGATAAGTAAAATCATCTGGCGTTAGTCAGAGTAAAATAATCTGGTGTTAGACAGAGTAAAATAATAAAGTAGCCAGGGCATATTTTCAAATTTGTATTTTGCCATTTTTTTATTATCATTCATATATAAAGTTATATGCATTTTAAAATATTTTAGGGGTTTTTAGCAAGTACTTTAAACTGGCGAGGTGTTTAGGCTTTGGTTATAGAATACATAAACTTTGAGTTTAATATGAAGTTGTTTATAGTATATAAATGCGAAAATGGGGCAAAAATGCAGAATTCCATGTTGGGTTAATACTAGCTCAATTTAATCTTTGCCGACCAATATTCACAACGAAGCGTGTTCCCATTTCGCCTTATTATTAAGAAATTTTATTCGCTCTTATTGCTCAAAATTTCATGAAATATACGTCTACCTCATGTAGCGAAATGCTGGCTAATTGTTTTGCTGTAGATAAAAGTTATTGATGCCATGGATAAGAAAAGTTGTTAAAATCCACCATTTCATCTTCGAAAGATAATTGCTTTTCTATTTTTATCAATCATCGTGTTGTAGTTCAATTCCTCCCCCCCCTCCCCCCTTTCCACCTCCCCCTTTCCACCTCCCCCTTTCCACCTCCCCCCTCCCCCATAGACCAATATTTTTTGAAAATATGACGAATGCAATAACCTCTCGAATGCAAAAATAAAGACATAAACGTTTTGGGCAAAGCATCAGAATTTTGTGCAACTTTTTATAGATAGTTAAATTAGTTATCAGTGTTCCATTGCCATCCATTTACACAAAAAGGCTGATGACCTAACTAAAACTTTGAAAATAATTTCATGTCAGATCCATAGTTCCTCCAGTGCATCCCGGACATGCAGTTACTTCGGGGACAGGTACACCTTATTATCCTATTCAAACGCTAGGCTAGATTATTTATGCCATCCATTAGCGGAAATTCAATTCCGACAACCCTCCTCCACCCCCCCTCCCCCCTCACTCATGCCTTTGCACAAGAAAAGGTTGTTTTTTATAGGCCTCTTTTAAGGTAATTCAGCAGTACTTGTTCCCGAAATGAGATTGTGCTGAAACTTCCCAGGCATGGAGTTTATGACATATTTAAAGTAAAATCACACAAAAAAGTCGGGGTCACGGAACTCGTTAAGAAGATATGACAATCACAATATACCACCTTTACTTCAATATGGCGCTATCTTGACGCTCATTACGAGTAACAGCAAAATGACAACAGCCCGATATTTATTGACGTTTTTAGCGAGGATTTTGCTTTAGTAAACCTATCCTGTAATTATTTTTGAAAAAATATTGTGTTTTGAGCAAAATGAAACTACTAACGTGCACAATTCCAGATCCACAAATGTCTTTTGCACATTTCTCTACATATCTTTCTTTGAGAACATGCATTGACGATATATCACTACATTTGACTGGTCTCCTATCTTGGACATACATGACTGTGATACAAAATATAAAAAGTTTAACGATACAATGACTGTGATGATTGAAAAATTCTTTCCCTTGGAACGGATTAAAGTACGAAAGTGTGATAAGCCTTGGATGACGTCATCAATAAAGTCTGCTATTGAGAGACGCCAAAAAGCCCTACACGAAAGCGGGAAAAATTCAGATATTTATAAATATTGGCGTAATAGAGTCCAATCATGCATTAAAGTTGCACGAAAGATCTACTATATGAGGTCAGTTGAGAAATTAAAAAATTCTAACCCGGCAAGATGG